ATGTAGATGATGAATTGGTCAATCCCCCTTTGAAAACGGAGGTTTTAATACGATTTTATAGAGAAAATCAGCCAAAAAAGATAATTTAATAAAACAGAGTCTGACGCTCAGGAAAGAAGGTTGGCGCCAACCCTGGCTAGCTGGCACCAGGCACCAACGGCTAGCGCCTGGCGCCAAGCCTGGTTCCAGGCGCCAAGGCCTGGGATTGGACGCCAAGATTGGCTATTTTCTTAAAAATAAAGTTTTAAAAACAGAGAGAAGAGAAAAGACTAAAACTTTCCGCACCACTAGACCTTTCCACACTTTCGTTTCATTCGATTATGATTCGACGTGAAAGGTACTCATCACTGGGTTTGGTTTTGGGGAGACACAAATGGGTGTCTACAGACGTCTAAATATTAATTACTCTATCAACTCAATAATTACTTCCGAATTAATTCGTCGCTTCGGCTCGTTAGTTACCAAGTGTGACTTGAAGGGTTCTATTAAGATTAAGTTGTAGTATTAATTATACATTAATATTACTGATCGGAAGCGACCTCCACCCAAGCATTCCGATCACTTGAACTCACTTAATAATTAGCTTTCTAATAATTTTGAACCCCCTATTAGAATAATACACTTGTTCGAAGGACACCATTCCTTTTAAAAAAGTTTCCCTAAATTATCTAAACTTTGCATTATCCGCCTAAAATAATCCCAATTTCGGATTAATTTTTAATAATTCGAACGTTAATGTCATTTAAACCCTTAGGTCAATCACCTTTCACGTTGTAGGTTAGCAATAGAGATTTAAGTAAAGTATTGATGTTTAGGAGCACTTGGAAGAGGAATTGTGGAAGATTAGGAAGATAATTATTTGAAGAGACAGAATATGAGAGTAGGAAAACAGAGCTTGTAACCTTGAAAAGGCTACAATATTTATTGGGTTGAATTCCACATACTACCTCCGGTCCAAATTACTCGCAACTTTGGGGTATTATTTGTGAGATATAAAATATTCCAAAGTTGCGAGTAATTTGGACCGGAGGTAGTATATAGAAATAAGTCGTATGTGTAAAGGGTCATGTACTTAAGTAAAGGCTTGCTTAACACACTAAAAATTGGTGCGACATTCTAGGGCGACAACAGTATGTGGCATGTATCGCGCACAAATTCTGGCATGCCGCACATATCTTGTGGATTCCGAGAATATTATGTTGTTATACTTTACACGTGTTTTTTTATGAATTTATCCGTTTGTACAATTGTTTTACACACTTTATGTTGAAGCTTAAATGTTTTGATATGATTAACTTAAACAAAGCAAACTTCAAACAATAAGAGTTCTCTTAGTGTTGTGAATAGAACAGGTGAATTTGAATTTTGAAGTGGAAGAGTAGCATAGGCTTGAAGACTCATAAGAGAACTCAAAGAAATTTAAGGAAGATAGAAGAAGAGTTCCCTCATAGGAACTAACGAAGTTCCTTAACAGGAACCTGAAGACACAAAGTTATGGAGTTGACTTGATCTGCGATGAAGACATCAAGTTTAGGAAAAACTTGTCCTGCAAAGTTCCAGTTTGGAATTGGAATGAAATTGACAGCAGGAACTTAGTCCGGGACTGCATGAAGCCCAAGTATCCTACGCAAATAAAATATTGATGTAGCAATTCAGTTTTATAAGTCTTTATCTTTTAGAAATTTTGTAAATATGTAAGTAGGTTTACGCATGAGGTTTATTAGAAACGTGACAAATTCTTGGCAAGCTTCTTAAAATTTGAAAGTTTAATAAGATACGTTTTTAGGAAAAGATTTTCTAACAAGATTTATTTTCTTGAAAACCGATTATCAAAAAGATATTATTCTTTGAGATAATTATCTTTGATAAATTTCCTAAAAGATTTTCTTCTAAAAAGATTTACTTAAAAACCGTGTTTTTGGATTTTTGAAAATTAACATGTTTTTCTTTTGAAAACCCTACTTTCTATACAAACAAGTCTTGTATAAATTGTAAAAATCCGAATTCATTTTTTTCTATGAGTTTATGCGTGATGAAATCAAAGTGTGCTTAATTGTGTAAGTTTGCCAAGTCTATATCTTTGTCATATTAGCTTCGGATTTTGTGCGTAGCTTTCCTCTCATATATTAGAGTCTATATTTTGTAATTGGTTGGGTTCTTGGGTGTGTGTGTGCATTCATCTTTGCATACAATAGTGTGAGCTTCTATGTTGAAGCTGAGTAAAATTACTCAGGGAGTACGAGTGAATTTAAGTCAAGGACTTAGATTAGGAAGGATAGTTCTTGGGTCATACTGTGTAACAAGTTCATTCTGGAACTTGTGAGTATAGGTCTTATTATAATAGGTTTGTAACTTGTGAAGTTTGCCATATTATAGTGAATTAGTTTGATTTGAAAATCCCTTAGAAGGGACTTGGAAAGTTTCCTCATAAAATATTGTGTGCATTGCAAGTTCTTTTATATGTTGTTTTACATTCCGCAAAAAGTAGTCACTAGGAACTCTCATACAATTCACCCCCCTTTTTGTAGTGTTCGTCTCAACTAACCTTTAGACATTTTAGGATTCTTCAATCGGCTTGGATTAATTAATTAAGGACTAGTTAAATAAAATGCTTGAACTTATAATGAAAAGGAAAACGAGCTAGAAAAATGAAATCATTTGGGTTATTAAATAAAATCGAGCACAACTTCGATCCTACGCTACTCTAACCAAATGATGATGAAAGTCTTTTACTAATTATCATTGGGTTTTGGTCGAGAAAAGATTTTGAGGTGTCTACAGAAAAAAGTTACCCATATTTTTTTTCAATGTTATAGATGTTGAGAGTGTCTTCAATAAAGGGTTAATATGATTAGAGGATTTGAGATCATATAGTAGGTGTAGTAATTTTTATTTATTTGTTTCCTCATGCATGATGCATGTTGTTTATGTACAATTCATTTTATTTGTTTTGTACAATTTCATTTTTTTAATATGATAAAAATTTATAGGTTTCAAGTCAATTCAATTTACTTAAGTTGTTCATTGAGTTTCCATCACCAATAAAATTCAAATAAGACCCTATTCTAAATAAAAAGAACAGGCGGATGATAAGAACCGATCTCATAATCTCCTGAAATTGAATGGAAAACTCTAACCACTTGAGTTATAATCAACCTTTCATATTATTGATTAAACTCCTAGAAAAACTAAAATTATATTTTTTTCATTTGAAATAACCCATGAGAGTACAAAGGGTACATAATAATTAACATATCACAACTTAATAGCATAGTAAAATGCTCTTAAATTAAATATTACATTTCTACAGAAGCATGAGCATTATTATTCTCCTTGTAAACTGTTAGATGAAGTTTGAAAGTTGAGATGAGAATAACTACAACGAAAATTGCAAGGCCAATGTATGAAGCAAGAATGGCACCACCACCACGGCTACAAAAGGTATCAAATTTGTCACAAACTTTGTTCCACTGTGCATGAGTAGTCCCATGCCTTGCTAATTGTGCCATGAACACAGCAGCGTTGGTTCCAGCTGATAGTATAGCTAAATTTATCTGCATCATTCATGTTAAATGTAAATGTTAGCATTACTAAAGAGGTGTTAAAAACTGGTCAGATCGATCAAATTCGATCTAATCTGATAAATTCTAATTCAGATTTTAACTCATATGGACACAATAATTTAAAATGACCTAAAATTAATATAAACTTTACCCAATCGGATCCCATCAAACTCAACCCGATCTCATCGAACTTAACCCAATTTCCCAAATTATCTCAACTATGCTACTATATGTACCTGTATACAATTGTTTGACAAGTCTGATCTAGAATACTACTCCGGACGAAGTAAATTAGATGATTTTGTGTGCACCATGAAAAAAAAACAAGTGTCTAACCAAGTAAGATTAGCAAAAAAATTGACCGTTGCATCACAAGTTTGATTCTCACTATTAGTATGTGTTTGCATTGGAAATGGAGATGTTTAATTAAGAGTAGTTTAATTTGGTGACTTAGTAGATGTATATTGGTTTCATTTGGGTGCTTCCTCACCTAACGGAGTTCCTCAATATGAATTTTTTATAAAAAATGATATTTGTAGTAGTTTTAACTTGTTGAATAAAAAATATTTGTAGTTTATAATCGTTGAATTGATCATCTTATAGAAAATAACTCTCTTACATGCCTCATGATATAATCATAAATTCATAAATTTATACATCAGGAGTACAATGACTATCACGTTTTCTTTAAATTATTAATTTAATACTACCTCTATTTCATATTATTTGCAATGATTGAATATTTTTCCTCTCTATGTTAAATCATTGCAAATAATATAAAAAGGAGGTAGTTGATAAATCCCACAATTTAATGGGACATTAATTGTGCAAAAATCAAATTGATGCATTTAAAAAAAAACGGGGAGAGAACCATCTACAACAACAGATCTCATTTGGTTGCAAATGAGAATAAAATACTCAATATTTTAAGCATGGGAAGTAGACCTATCAATTTTTTACCAACGTGCAAACTTGACTCCAAAACTACCTGTTTTGTGGATTTAAGTATATAATTTTTTAACCAGAACCTATTGAGCCCACTAAATTTGCTCCTTAATTTTGACCCGAACTGAACCAGACCCAACTGTAAACCAATATAGGTGAGGATGTTCAATTTAAAAAGTGAAAACTGCATAGCATTTAAAGCTTTTAAATACCAGATATTTCTAGCCAAAAATTATTTTTCTTGACTTGAAATCTGACCCAATGTTTTATGATGATATGTATTTTCATACAAAAATTAACATGGGATGTTAGAGTGACCATGGTAGAGGTGGCCAGGTGGGTAAATTAATTTCCAAATTTTATAAGAATTCTGCCTTTTCAAGAAATTGTATCTTCTCACATTTTTACTTTTGTAAGCTAACCAAACAACTATCAATTAAAGAATTATAATGAAATTATATTTCCTTCGTAAATTGAATGCAACCAAAGTTCTTAGATTTGAATCCTTAAACTATTATTTATACTTCTTCTTTGTAGTTTATCATGGAAAAACTAGAGGTGTAAAAAATTGGCCAACTTTGTTTCGTCACAAAAAAAGGCCCAATTAAATATTTTGTTCTTATGGACACAATAAATAATGTTAACTCTACTCTAAAATTAGCCCGACTAACCTAACTTGACCTCACCTGACCCAAGGTACCCAAATTGACACCTTTGAAAAAAAAAATGAAACAAAATTATTTTTTTTTTAGGTGCCGGAAACCAACCATTTACCAAAACACAGAACACAAATAGAACTAAGAAAGAACAAACAAAAAAAAAAAAAATGAGATAGCCACATCACGAGCTCCTTTGGGATCAATCTTCTTTCCAAAGAACATTGCTATCAACACCAACAGGTTGTGCAAAGTAGCCAATCCATTAGCTACAACAAAGAATCTGATCGCAAACAAACAAGTATTAGTAACAAGATCATAGAATATTATTATATTTTTTCTTTTAAATTAGACGACATAATTTGACTTTTGACACTATTTACAAATCCTACTTTGACTAGCTTATATGATTTTATAAGAAAAAATTTAGACACCTGAGATTTTATTGGAATCCTCTAATTTCTCTTTACGTATATTTTAAAAATATCAACTTTTTATTTCTTTAAAAAAAAAATTATTAACGTTTTATATTATTTACTTTTTTTTTTTTTTTAAGAAAAACGGTTAGTGCATTAATTCATAGAAATAGAGTCCAACAAAACATACGGAGAAACCACATTAGGCATAAGATGTTCCCACAATTGTTCACAACCTGACGACACTAACCTAGTTTTCACTTATAATTAGGGATATTTCCCTAAACAAAAAAACTTAATTAGAAATGTATTAGCTCATTTTTTATTATCAATCAATCAATCAATCAACAATACTATATACTAAAAGACACATCATCAATGACACGTGTTATCTCCTGGTGTGTCTTTAATTAATTTTTTTTATATAAAGAAAATAAATCTATTATTTAAGGAAACAAATCAATTTTAAAAATAATATTATTTGTTATATACATATTTCATATTAATGTAGTATATTTAAAGTAAATAGATTTCACAAATAATTTTTCTAAAAGAGAAAATTGGACAACTATACACCAAAAAGTATACATAAACTTTTAAAAAAATCAGGTGTACAATAATTATTGTACATCCATTATAAAGATAACCTAAAGTGATTAAAAGTTACCCTTTAAATGAATAAAAGTTACCCCAATATGAGTTAAAGTAACCCAATTCAAATAAAAATTATCTACGCTTTATTAATAAAGAATCAAATTTTAAATGACTAAAAATCAATTATTAGTGATTGAGTGTAATTAAATTACCTTAATAAAACTTTTCTTGTTGTTGATTTATATAAAAATTGTATTATGTTTAAAGTTACCCAAAAAAAGACAAAAAGTTACCCTAAAATTAGCTAAAAGTTACCCTTATATTGCTCGATGTACACTAATATTAGTGTAAACCGGATGTATACAAAAGTTTTTGAAAAATGTATTCTAAAAAATATTTTGTGATTTTTTTTACAACAAAAAAAAATATTACTTGGATTTTTTGCCTACTTTTTTTTTTAATTGTGTATTAGAAAATACAATTAAAATGTAACATATCACATACTTTTATTTTTATTCGACTAATTTATGATTATAATACTTATCTGTTAATTATCTATAACGATCACGGTGTATGGCACAGGAACTAATCTAGTGTGCAATATTTGTGAGGTATAAAAAAAATTTTGTTCCAAATAATAAGAAATAGAGGTAGTATTTGTAGTTAAATTGAATTTATACATTAACAAATGTTTTAATTTTTTTTTTAATTTTTTTTTGGTGTTTAGAGAGCTACAAAGGACGAGGGTGACAAACGATCCTAAAGTCTCCAAGAAAATCTCTAATCACTTGAGTTATCCATCATTCTCAAATGTAATAAAATAAACGTGTCATCTTTACCATAATATAATATTATAGTGCTTTTTTCTATAATACGATATGTAAAAAGCGCAAAATGTCAAGTGTTAATAGTTAATGGGACGATTTAGCTTATTTATTTATTTATTTATTTTTTTTTTTACTGGAAACATAGACGATTTAGCTTTAGATATTGTGCACAGTTTATGTTAAAACTCACATATTTGCCGGGGTGTCTTGAAACCTTGCGGTAAGTGTAGCTTTAATAGTGTTAGTACCAATGGTAGCAACAACAAAGGTCTTGGTTTCTTTGTTGATAACCATACCAATCGTAGCAGCCAATGTAGCCAAAAGAGCCACCAATCTTAGTAATGCTACCACCGTATCTTTGATCCCTGGCACCGACGATTGCAACGAATTGTAAACTGTTTCCGACTTCTCATGGCCTAGTTGAGCCATCAGTCAACACAAAGAGTAGGACGATATAAGTTTCTTTCTAAGTTATATATTTGTACAAGAATTTTTCTTATATGTATAGCGTTGCTAGTTTGAGTGTTGCTTTTAAATAGAATTTGCTTCATATTTCTTGTCTTGAGTAATGGAACAAAATCTGTAACTTGTAAGTATAGTTTCTTAAGATGGGTATAACCGTTTTTCCATCTGTTATTAGTTGGGAAATTTTTACCTACTATGGTGATTAACTCAAGATTATAGGCAGAAATTTAATAAATTCTAATGGCTGATTAAAGTAGGTGAGTGAATTTAAAGATTGCATGAAAATTACGGTTATCTATATTAATATTCCTCTTCTATAACGACGTGAATTCGGCACTTTTACATCTCTTCTTTGATATAGGGTCGTTTGGTTAATAAAGTGTGGTATAAACTTGAAATTATGAATGTAAGCAAAATGGTATGTGATTGAAACTTGATTCTTATTATTGTCAAGTACTTACTTTATGTTTGGTCAATGTTATAGAATGATATCCCCCTTTTGAATAGATATCTTAGGTTTGGGACTCCTCATTAAGTTTTGGGTAAGGGTGTCACATAAGGCGTATCGAACTCATTCCTTGGGTTTCTAAATCAAGGGCTAGGGGTGTCCATTTAGTTTTCAATAGAATTTAGCCTTATTCCAATCTGATCCGTAATAAAATTTCATTTTCAATTATCAAATCCAATCTGACCGGAATTCATCACCCAATCCAATCCGACCCAATCCGAAAATCTGAATTAAAATACGATGCAAATTTTTTGGGCCTAATGTGATTACAAAAATAAAAATGCAAATATAAAAATTCAATTTTTTAAACATAGTTGTACATGATTAATATAAGTGTTGAAAATATAGTTTTGCCAGATAATTATTAATGTGATTATAAAAATAAGGAAAAATTGTCAAAAATAATACAAACTTTGAGCTGTCCGCCAAAAACAAGTCAATCTTTTGATTATTTCTAAATAATACTCCCTCCGTTCTTATTTGTTTTTTTACATTCACTACAAGAAAAATCTCTTTTCGTAGCGATTATTTCGTAGCGATTGTACATTCGCTACAATATGCAAATATGTTTGTGAAATAATTAAGGATGTCGTATCATTTTTACAATCGCCATGGTTTTCCCATATAAAATCGATACGAAAAACAAAATAATACATATCCACATTATATTTACACATTTAAATAATTTTGATAAATCGTATCATTTACAATCGCCACTAAATCCTAAAAATCGATAGGAGAAGCCTTTTCAACACTAGATATATAAATATTGTTTGACAAAGAATACATAAAATATGTCATAACTTATTAGTGAAACATTTAATATAAGAGTTTGAGGTTGCATGTTCGAATCTTGTAAAGATCATACGCATGTTTTTTTTTTTTTTTGAAGAAAATGAGTTAAACATTTATAGCGATTGTAATCGCTATAATAATCACCACGATTGGATGTAGTATTTCGTATCAATTATTGAGGCCAACCCCAGCGATATTGAAAACCACTACTAAAGGCTAAGGCAACGGGGGATATTGTATCGAATGACCATTCGTTGGGAAAGCTTTTTGTTGCAATTACAATCGATACTAAAGCTTAAAATAATTGCTACGAAAAGGTTATTTTCTTGTAGTGGTTGAATGACCACATTTACAATATTGTTTTTTTTTTAAATAGAATTGTACTTGCAATCATTGCAATATTCCATTATACCTCTACTTTACACAATTTCTTAATAACAACGCATAATTCCAAATGTAAAAATATACGGGAATGGAGGAAGTACAATCTCTAGGGGGGTCCACTTTAAACAAGTTATAACCTTTTGTGACTTGTTTAACAGGTTGTACCGAACACGTATCATCATTTTATTGGCTAAACGTTTTTTTTTACATTTTTTAAAAGTGATTTATGTTTTAAGTATTATTTTTTTTTTTGAGGAAATTATCAAAAGATTTAAATAACATTAATTAATTATTAAATATTAAAATTAAAAACACCACCCATTATTATTAAAATTCTACTTTTAAAACATTATTACTCCCTCCGTTACGAATTACTCGCAACAATACTATAAATAGCCGTTACATATTACTTGCAACAAAATATTTTCTTTCCTATTTTAGTAAGTTTTTTAGGGTAAAATGACAAATTTACCCTTTTTCTAAAAAGTTAGTTTAATTATTTAAAACCACATCACTTATCTTCTGATCAATTTAACTTAACAATAATCTACTCTAACCATTCCCACAAAAAACTTACCCTATTCCTTCGTAAATCAAAAGACTCCATTCATCTCCCCAACTACCTAATTGAATGTTCATCATTCAATTCACCTCGAACATGCTGCCCAAAATTCATATCTTTTGGAGAATTCTCTAGATGCTCGTAAAAAACACTAGATCTCTTCCTCCAATCTGCTTTCTCTCTCCTCTTCGTTCTCTGTTCTCTCTCTTCCATTTTCTCTCGGAAACCCTAATTTCATTTCCTTGCATTTTCAATCCACTATGTACATTGCAAGACGTGGATCTGGAGTGATGAAACCTGAACGAAGGTGCTCTGCTTCCTTTTCGAGGTACTCTGGTGGAAAAATTTGGGCTAAGTTGTACTTCTCATCTAGCGACAAAGAGGAGCCAGAGGTTGTTGCAGATCCACCTAAGAAGGTGGCTGTTAAGGCGACTCTTTTACCGGATCTGATGGTTTTCGCTAAGGATACTGTTGAAGGGGAAGTCGGGGATGAAAGAGTCCCCTAAAAAAACTGACCAGGAGAAGGAGGGGATGCTTGAGGAAGCTTTGGCCAAGGATGGGTCTCCTAGGGGCACAAACTCCGTAGATCTGTGTGGCTTGACGACTACAATGACTGGGATCCTTGCTACCTGACCTATCTAAGGCACAAATACACACATGATTTCCTCCCTAATCTCTGATCTTGCGGCATAACTATGACTAAACCCTAATTCCTTTTACTTTTTCTGTTTTGGCTATAATTATTAGGTGTTTGATCTTACGTGTGAGTTCCTGTTGGTTATTTGTGTTGGTTTGAGTATGAATATTTTTTGTTCATTTGTTGTTGGTGCTTATCATGTTGATTCAAGTGGAAAGACTGTTGAATGCTCTAAATGATATAGTGACTGGTTTGTGTATGATTATTGTTGTTTAATTTGTTGTTGAATGGTAAGCATGGTGATTGTTTTTGTGATTGGTACTCTAAATGGTTAATTATGTCTTGTTAGTTGTAGTCTATGGGACTGTATACTGATGCGTATTGGGGGTGTTTTACTGTATGGATGATGAGCATGTTTCTGGTATTTCAGCACTTGGAATACTCTTAATGTAAGTGTGTTTGTGTTGCTTCCATGGAGTCCCAAATGATGGTTTTGTATCTTTGGCAATCTGTCCTGTTTGATGCATGTGGCCTTGCTGAATTGATTACTAGTTCTTGCTTCTGTATGTGATGCATTTAGTCCCACTTGATGAATCTATAGTAGAGGCATTGAGTCCCAGTTGTTGACTGTATACTTGAGGCAAAGAGTCCCAGTTGTTGCTTCTATAGTTCAGTCATTGAGTCCCCCCCTAAGTAATGGTCCATTATTGATCCAAGTCATTAAGGGACTTTACTGACACTATCCCCTACATAAAGGATGTTCCAACAAATTGTTACATAATATTTTGTTGAGGTGCCTTTGTATGGAGGGTTTTATGTGTTGATAAAAAAGCACATCTGATGGATTCATGTCAGTATTAACATGTCATAACACCAGAAGTTATGTTGGTGTTAATGGTTTCTTTTCATTGTTAAAAAATTGTCATCTTTACATAATTCCTACTACATGTACACTTGTTTTTCACAACTGCCTAACTAATATGTCTATGTTATTTGTCAAAATACACATAACCATTACAAAACACAAACAAAAGTCAAGTTTTAGTCTTAATGGTTATATGTGGCAATCCATGATCATCTAAATCTTCTTCATTCAATCTTCATATAAAAAAAATGTGTGTCTTGCATCTTCAAAAGGTTGTTTGCTAGCATTGTCTTTTTTAAAAGGTTGTACGCTTGCATGATGATAAGTCTGCATCCACTTCCATCTCTTGTGTCTCTGGTTGAGGGCCTATTGTAGAAACAAGCAATGTGTTGTGGTAGTTCATTGTTTCTGCTATGAGTTCCCTTTTTACCTTGAGTATGTCTTCCAAGGTCCCTTCTCTTGTTTATGTTGCATTTTTCATGTAGGGTGGGTTGAAGTTATTCCCACATTTTTTATCTAGTATTTTTATGATGCATGATTGGAGAGTGATCCATGTGTACCTGTTTAGTGTGGGATCAAAAATCTGAAAAGCCTCTGCCACTTTCTCAAGCAGTTCATCCACATTCTTGGGGAAAGAATGATATTGGCTGGGCTGTATCACCTTAAATAAACAAAGGTCCAACACATTGAGTCTAGGGATTGGGCAGGTTAGAATACAAACTAAATGTTAAAACCATTAGCTTGTGTGGCTACCAAAAATTCAACAACAGTGGGTACTTGATGGGGCCTTGCATTGTCCCACTGAATAACTATGTGCTTTGATAAATGTTGTGGCCATTCAGCACGTATAGTTGGAATGATTATGTTCATAATCATGTCTCTGATTGCTTCTCTGTTGACATTCTAAATGACTTTTTGGTTTCCATTGTGCTTGCCTCTCTATTTTTGCTTTTTTTTTCTCTTTTCCCTTTCATACTTCACAAAAGGGAGTAGCCCATACTTCCCTGAGTGAAGCAGAGTCCCATCCTCACCATAAAGAGGCTTGCCTATCATCCCCAAGAATATTGTCTTTAACTTGAACCTCTTCGATTGTTGTGCTCTGTATGGTACCTCTTCATTTGGTGTTAGATAAAAGGTTCTTGTTTATGAGTTCAAGTAGAACCACTTTTCATCAATGTGGATTTGATGTTGCATATCCAAAAATGTTAGGTCCCTTTCACTTGTTACTAGATTAATTTTCTGCAACACCTATTTCAACCTTGCTACTTTGTGATTGTCACTTAAACCTGGGTGATTTGTTGCTGTGACACCCCTTAGTCTTTCCTTTTCTT